TTTTTTCAAGACAGGGTTTCTCTGTGTGTCCCTGGCTGTCCTAGAACTCAATCTGTAGACCAGACTGGCCTTGACTCTCAGAGATCAGCCTGCTTCTGCCTCCTGAGTGCTGGGAGTAAAGGCGTGTGCTGCTTCGTCCAGCCTATGGGCTAACATCTTGAACCATAACTTAGAGCTAAGAGCACAAACTGAGAATGGGTTAGGGCTTTGAGCCCTCAGAGACTGTTCATCCCAGCGACATACTTTCTGGCAAGGCCATACCTCCTAAACCTACCCACATTCACTGTTAGTTACAGCTCATGCAAGCCACCACACTCACCAATTAAAAATGTCTCAATACAAGTATTAGTGCTGTTTTACCTTCCTTACAGTGGCTGTGCCTTAAACTCGTGGAAGTCCAGCTACTGAGGCCGTACGTAGCCAGTGGGGGAAAATTCTGTTCCCCAGACAAGTGCTCTGTTGCTGCCACTAAAGGTAGTTTTAACTAAATCTCTTTCATTATAATAAAACTTAAGATTCAAAAGCTAGTGTGAAAACCTGTGAGCTCAGAGAGTTAGAATAGCAACTGGTTAACTTTCTCTCTTAGCTGGCAGCCAGGAAGCCTCTCCTTCTACACAGCCACAACTAAAAAAGCTCACACTCAGCTCCTCCACGCTAGTTCCTGTTAACTAGTTGCTAACCACACCTTTGAGCCCAGGTTAATTTTATTTAATTAATTCAAAAGCAACACATCTTTACATAGCTAAACAAATGCAGCATATAAACAAATATTCCACTTGCTAACCACACCTTTGAGCCCAGGTTAATTTTATTTAATTAATTCAAATGCAACACATCTTTACATAGCTAAACAAATGCAGCATAAACAAATGTAATATATCTTTGCCTAGATAAACAAATATTCCATAGCACAGCAGATTATCCAAATTAATACAAGGAAAAGTAAAGGCTTTAATGATTCCAGCTGATGCAAGTTCTAGGAGTGGACTTGCCAGCTCAGCCATCTCAGGCCAGGTGTCTCTGGAGTTCACTTGGCCTCTGCCTCATTGTGCCAGCATGGCTGTTACAACTCTACCATGTCCCTGTAACACATTGGTAAGGTATGTATATGGCCACCTGTAGCTGCATGAGAGCCTAGAGGGATTGACTAGCCTATTGTATGTGTATGAGTGATTTGCTTGAATGTATATAAGTGTGCTGTGTGTGCCTGGTGCCCCTGGAGCTGGAGTTACATGATTATTGTGAATCCTGGTCTTTGAATTAGCACCCAGGGTTCTTAACAGCTGAGCCATCTCTCTAGTGCCCTTCTCCATCTTATTTTTCTTTTTTGAGACAGCCTCGTGTGTCCCAAGGTGGAACTTGCTTTGTAGCTGAGTATGACTTTGAACCTGCCTCCTTTGTTCCTGCCTCCACCTCCCAAGTGCTAGGATGGCGTGTGCTCCTATCCTGAGATTGTGCTAGAAGGGCCCACAGCTCTAAGTGGAGGTGGCCAAGAGAAAACAGTCCATCACTGTGAGCAATTCTTTCTTCTCTTCCAAGGGTATGAGCCGCCCCAAGCCCTCTCACCCCTGCCTCCACCTGCTCCATCTCCACCAGCCTGGCAGGCTCGGGCCCTGGGCACTGCTCGCCTACAGTTGGTGGAGTTCTCAGCTTTTGTGGAACCACCGGATGCAGTTGACTCGGTGAGTGAAACCTGTGTGGGATTTCTTTCTTATTTGTAAATATGAAAGCCAGAGGCCAACATGAAGTGTGTGTGTCTATCTTGTGTTTTAAGAGAGTCTGTCTGGGCTTGGGCTTCCCCAGCAGTGAGCCCAGGGATACAACTGTCTGTTCTCAACGGCATTGAAATTACAGACTCATGGTGCCAAGTCTGTTATTACAGAGTTCTGGGAATTGAACACAGGTCATTCATTCATTCATTCATTCATCTAATAGCAAATTCCTGCTGTTTAACAGGGTTTGCCTTAACACACTGAGGACCTGGAAGGAAGTGCCACAGTGTAAACAGAAGGCTTTTCTCTGTCTAGCTGGTTCCCACTTGACATGGTTCTCTCTGCCCACTGGGTCCCTGAAGCCGCTACCACTTAGAGACTTAATAATTGTTCGGCCAATGGCTTGGGCTTATTATTGGATAGCTCTCTCTTGTAAATCATCCCATTTCTACTAATCTGTGTAATACCACGTGTTGTAGTTTACCAGTGCCCTTGCATCTTGCTTCCCTGGTATGGCTACATGGCATCTCACTGTCTTCCTTCTCCCTGTCTCTTTGTTCGGATTTCCTGCCTAGCTAAATTCTGCCTGTCCATTGGCCAAAAAAAGCTTTATCCATCAACCAATAGAAGCAACACATATTAGCAGCATACACAAGGACATCCCAAATTACCAGAGTTCTACTTTTCTATGATTTGTTTATTGTTAAGGTGGGTCTCACTCTGTAGCTCAGGCTAGCCTTGAACATTCTAGCATGTGCTCTTTCTCTCACCTTCCTGAGGGCTGGGATGACAAGCATGCACCATGGTGCCCAGCTTTTCATGGGAGTTTTCAGCAAGTATGCTGAACAGATGTGTTGCCCCAGTGATTCAGGACCTGGCCCTTGCCATTTTGTGGTTCTGCCATTTTATAGAGTTTCAGAATCTTCTGGGTTCCTTCCATCCAGCCAGCAGATGGAGGAAGAGAGAGTGTAGGATTTCCTGTACCCACGCTTGAATGAGGCAACTCACGGGTCTCTTCACATCCCATTTGCCAGGTCCTAGTCATGTGCTCACACCTAACTGCAGAGAAATGTATGTAGTCCACTGCATGCAATCTCTCTGCAGCCACACTAATGCCACCACCCATCAGGTGGTCAAGGTTACTTACGTCAAGGGTGATGCTGGTGAGACTCACATAGCAAGTCTGTGATCCCAGAACCCTGGAGCCTGAAGTAGTATTGCCTTTAGTTGAGAAGTCAGTGGGAGGCTGGGGATTTAGCTCAGCTGATAGAGTGCAAGCATGTATGAAGCTCTGGGTTCCAACCCCAGGTTTGCATATGTGGTAGTGCATGCGTGCGATCTCAACACCCTGGAGGTGGAGGCAGAGGGATCAGAGGCCAAGCAAAGAACACACAAGACTGTCTCAACAAAACAAAACAAGTGAGCATGGCAGCACATGCCTTTAATCCCAACACTCAGGAGGCAGAGGCAGAAGGATCGCTGACAATTGGAGGCCATCCTGGTCTACATAGAGAGAGTTCCAGGACAGCCAGGGGGTACATAGAGAGACCCCTCTATCTCAGAAAAACAAAAACTAAGAACCAATTTGCTCTATAATAGTGAATTCAAAACCCAGGAAGAGGAGCCAGGCATGGTGGCACACAGCTTTAACCAATCCCAGCACTCGGGAGGTAGAGGCTGGCAGAACTGAGTTCCAGGCCGGCAGAGCTACAGAGTGAGATCCTAGTACAAAACAACAAATGAACAGCAACAATAAAAATAAACCTTCAAACAAACCCCCAATCCCAACAAACATACACAAAACAAAACAGAAAACCAAACAAAACGCCTACAGCAGAACTGAAGCACCCTGACATCCCAGTTGGGGCACAAGCTGAAGCCCTTTGAGTTGCTCACAGCTCCTGTGCCATCTGAGCCCTGCTCCTGCTGTGCCTCTTGCCTGTGTGCTTACCATGGCCCCTCCTGCCTTGTGCCCTTCTGCCTGCCTTCCCCACAGCTGGTACAGGCCTTCTCTGGGACTTGCTGTGAGTGACTCCGGCTTAATTTTCTCATGAGGCTTTCCTAAGCCTTCTGCTAAAAAGTGCCATGTGCCATCTTTTTGTTAGGTGTGTATGTGTGTTGCAAAGTTCCCAAAGAGGCCAGAAAAGAGCGTTCAGTCCCCATTTGGCTTATTCTATCATACCTGGTTCACGAACTGTCCTATTTCTATACTTACCAGGATATTTTTCATAGCATAAATTATTTCTGACATTTCTATTATCTGTAAGTTGTTTTATGCTCCACTTCTCTGTGGTAAACTGAACTCTGCAAATTCAGGGACTTAGTGGCCTTTTAGCCCCAGGACCAAGACTAGTACTAGCATACAACCAGCCTATCTAGTGTTGTTTCTTTCTTTTTTCTCTTAGGCTCTTTACTTTTTGGGGGCCTGCTACTCAGCTCCCAGATAAATGCATGAAGACTTATTTTTTTTTCTTATAAATGCCCAGCCTTAGGTTCTTGTTTCTAGCCAGCTTTTCTTAATTTAAATTACCCAGTCTACCTTTTACCTCTGGGCTTTTACCTTTCTTTATTCTTTATATTTTTCTTTACTTCTTACTCTGTGGCTTGCTGTGTAGCTGTGTGGCTGGCCCCAATGTCTTCTTCTCTTCCTTTTCTTCCTTGATCCTCTTCTACCAGATTTCTCCTATTTATTCTGTCTGGCAGCCCCGCCTACCCTTTCTCCTACCTTGTTATTGGCCATTTAGCTCTTTTTTTTTTCCCCCTTTAGTTGTCTTCTTCCGCCTACCCTTTCTCCTACCTTGTTATTGGCCATTTAGCTCTTTTTTTTTCCCCCTTTAGTTGTCTTCTTCTTCTTCTTCTTTTTTTTTTTTAAAGATTTTACTTATTTATTATGTATACAACATTCTGCTTCCATGTATATCTGCACACCAGAAGAGGGCACCAGATCTCATAACGGATGGTTGTGAGCCACTATGTGGTTGCTGGGAATTGAACTCAGGACCTTTGGAAGAGCAGTCGGTACTCTTAACCTCTGAGCCATCTCTCCAGCCCCTGCCATTCAGCTCTTTACTAGACCAATTGGGTGTTTTAGACAGGCACAGTAAGACAGCTTCACAGCATTGAACGAATGAAGCATAAAGGAATGCAACATAGCCGAGTGGTGGTGGTGGCGCGTGCTTTTAATCCCTACACTGGGGAGGCAGAGGCAGGCAGATCTCAGTGACTTTGAGGTCAGCTTGGTCTCCAGAGTGATTTCCAGGACAGCCACAACTGTTACACAGAGAAACCCTGTCTTAAACAAACAAACAAACAAACAAAAGAATGCAACACATGTGTGCATCATTAAACAAATAATCCACAGCATAAACAAAAGTAACACATCTTTAACTAATATTTTACAACATGTCTAGTTCTTGTATATATAGAGGGTGGTCTCCTTGGGGAGATAGTGAAGTCTTCCCTGAAAAGACATGTAAGAGTTGGGCTTTGAGGGTTATGTAGGAGTTTACTGGGTGCAGCATTGTAAATTGCAGGAACAGAAATGAAGTTTTCAAGGAAATTATGGTGGGAGTTGGTGATGTTGCTGAGAGGAGGGCAGGCACTGGATTCTGGGGACTGAGTTAGCTCTAGAGTTGTGTGAGGGATGAAAAATGTTGGTGAGGCTAGACCAGAGGATGGGAGATGATAAGATATGAGCAGGTTGAGACAGCGGAGGCAGAGGAATGAGCAGATTGCTGGGGTTACAGGGCTCTATGTGGCCCAAGGTGTGGCCATGTGCTGGCCAATGGGTCTAGCCCAAGTCCCTCACGCTGTCATCCCTCTGCAGTTCCAGAGGCACCTGTTTGTCCACATCAGTCAGCAGTGTCCTAGTCCTGGAGCACCGCCCCTGGAGAGTGTGGACGTACGCCAGATCTACGATAAGTTCCCTGAGAAAAAGGGTGGCCTCCGGGAGCTGTATGACCGAGGGCCACCCCATGCCTTCTTCCTGGTCAAGTTCTGGGTGAGTGTTCCCAAGTCATGGCACTGTCAGCCAGGCACAAGGAGGGTCTTGGGTCTGCTAGGTCTTACTTCAAAAAACAAAACAAAACAAAACACTGTAACTGGGTTTTTTTACTCTATTTTTTTATTTTTTGGGGGGTGGGGGTGGGGGCTTTGGAGGCTGTCCTGGAACTCACTCTGTAGACCAGGCTGGTCTTGAACTCACAGAGATTGGCCTGCCTCTACCTCCCGAGTGCTGGGATAAAAGGCGTACACCACCACCACCACCCAGCCTTTACTCTTTATTCTTTGCTCTTTTGGGGCCCGCCACCCAGATCCCAAATAAATCACACATGGAGTCTTATCCTTACTTATAAATACCCCGCCTTAGCTTGGCTTATTTCTAGCCAGCTTTCCTTATCTTAAATTATCCCGTTTACTTTTTGCTCTGGGCTTTTTCCTTTTCCTACTTCTATACATTTTACTTTCACTGTTTCTTTTTTTGCTTTTTTGAGACAGGGTGTCTTTGTTCTTTGTGTAACAGCCCTGGCTGACCTGTAACTCGGAGATCCGCCTGCCTCTGCCTCCTGAGTGCTGGGATTAAAGGCATGTGACACCACCTGCTTGACTTTCACTCTTACTTCATGGGTGGCTGGGTGGCTGGTGGCTGGCCCCTAGCATCCTCCTCTCCTTGTTCTCTAGCTCCTTCCTCTCCTTCCAGATCTCTCCTATCAATTTTCTGCCTGCTGGCCCTGCCTGTCTTTTCTCCTGCCTTGCTATTGGTCATTCATCTCTTTATTAGACCAATCAGTTGTTTTAGGCAGAGAAAGTAACACACTTCACAGAGTTAAATAAGTGAAACATAAAAAAGAATACAACAAATGTTCCACAGCATAAACAAATAAACTCATCTTAAAATAATATTTACAACAAAACACTGTATGGGGGAGTGTGTAGGTTGAATACTAATGCTTCCTAAGTCCTGCTCTATGATGGGGGGGAGTCAAACCACTTGCTTGCACAGCCAGTGGGGGGCAGGGGGAGGTATGGGAGGATATGGCACCCTAACCAGTTGCTGGGGGTAACTTGCCTGCTAGTAACTAGGCCCCAGTCAGAGAGGCTAAAGTCTTTTTTTTTGTCCCTCTCCCTCCATTTTCTTAGACTTAAAACCCCAACCACTTTTTTTGTTGTTGTTCCATTTTAAGACATGGTCTTTCTTTTCTTTTTTTAAATTTAATACATGGTCTTTCTTTGTATGTAGACCATACTGGTTTCAAACTCACAATCCTGCATCAGCCTCCCAAGTGCTAGCATTAGAAGCTTGCACTATTATGCCTAGCCCTAGAGTTGGGTTCTCTGGCCCTTGGTTGACAGAGACTTGAGAGTCAGACTTCTCTAGTCCTCCTGGAATTGTGGATGGGTCTTCTACAGAGCACACACAGCTCATGCTGACCTTGGGAGTGATGGGGTGGGGTTGGGGGATGAGCAAGTGGGTGCTGCTCAGGCAACCAGGCTCTAGGTCAGAATTTGTTGGGTTTTCCCCAACTCACCTGTGCCTCTCCATCTTGTCTCTCAGGCGGACCTGAACTGGGGCCCAAGTGGTGAACAGGCAGGGACCAGTGGAGGCAGCGGTGGCTTCTATGGAGTGAGCAGCCAATATGAGAGCCGGGAGCTCATGACACTTACCTGCTCCTCCAAGGTCTGCTCCTTTGGCAAGCAAGTGGTGGAGAAGGTGGAGGTGAGGCCCAGGGCTAGGGCACAGCCTGCGTCAAGACTAAGCTGTCACAGGCATGTGGGTGTGTGTGAGGTAGGGCCATCCCAACCTCTCTGGAAGTTTGGTACATGTGCTAAGAATTAACTCCAAAGAAGGCTGAGGGTGTTTAGTTGGTAGAATGCTTGCCCTGTACTATGTAGACCAATCATCAGGAGTTTCAAGCAGTTCTAGGCTAGCCTGGGCTACATTAGACCCTGTTTCAAACAAAACAGGAATAAGCAACTAAAAGTCATAGCTAGGACTCATTTCAAGGGTTGAAAGGTATAGAGATTGAATCTATAAGATGAAAAGGTTCTTAAGGGTGGGTAGAGATAGGCATTATACTTGAGAGACTGTGGGGACTGGAGGACTCCAGCTCAGTTTGGAGATACAATCTAGGGTGTTTGGAAGTCACTGAGGTTTCAGACCATGACTCTGGGGGGAGGGAAGTTTCCCTGTTTGCAGGTTCAGAGTCAGTTGTACACCCAGAGTCTCTGGTCTAAAGGTGGGGTGCTTGGGGGATTCTGGCTGGTTCCTAGGTTGTCTGCTGTTTCTCTCAGCCACTGTGTTGCCCACTTGCAGACAGAGCGGGCCCAGCTGGAGGATGGGCGCTTTGTGTACCGCCTGCTGCGCTCTCCCATGTGTGAGTACCTGGTTAACTTCCTACACAAGCTGCGCCAGCTGCCTGAACGCTACATGATGAACAGCGTCTTGGAGAACTTCACCATCCTGCAGGTGACTCACTGGGGCCGGCAGGCTGGACTTTAAGCAAACCCTCAGCCTCGGGCTCCACAGCAGCCCTTAGCCCCATCCTGCCAGCCAGGCAGTGCAGATGCCAAAGATGAGCTCCTTTTCTCCAGGACATGATGGGGTGGGCCACTCTACTATAGTGACGTGGGACTCACCTGTCCCATGTGGGAAGTCCATCTTCACTAGGGCAGCTGAAGATACCACAGCTTCCAGGCATCTGGTCACCAGAGGGGTCAAGAGCTGAAGGACACTCCTTTGATATGGGGGTTGTACTAATATGACCTGCTGAACCTTTTGCCTGTGGCATAGTGGAGACCCCTTTTCTCAGGAAAGTAATGTGCTGGGGAGGTCCCCCCCTGCCAACTCTCAGCTTAGGGGTTACCCCCTTTGCCCGGGGTACATGGGAGGTGGGAAGAGGCCAGAGGTGTCCTTGAAAACTAGGGGTGGGCAGGGCAGTCCCACCACACACACACACACCCTACACCACCCCCGCCATAGCATAAGCCTGTTCTCCTGGCAGGTGGTGACAAACAGGGACACTCAGGAACTGCTGCTGTGCACTGCCTATGTCTTCGAGGTCTCCACCAGCGAACGCGGAGCCCAACACCACATCTACCGCCTGGTCAGGGACTGATGGGCCCCATTACTGGTTTTCCTCAGAACACCCTCTTCCCAGGAAGGGCCCGTCAGTTCTCCCTGTACCCATCATTTGGAGAGGGGGCCATGATAAGAAAAAAAAAAAGGGCCTGATTTCAGGCCCTTGGTTATTGAGCTGAAGGAGCAGATTTTGAGGTTAGACCCCACAGGGAGCACCTGACAGGGACTGGGGACTGGGGACGGGAGCACACACCCACAGGTTCAGCATTGGCCTCTCAGTTCTACAAGGCTCCTTTGCTCTTCTGGAGAAGGAGCTGGGCTGTGCGGGGGATATTACTCATTGCCTTGTACCCTTCTGGCCTCTCAGTTCTACAAGGCTCCTTTGCTCTTCTGGAGAAGGGAGCTGGGCTGTGCGGGGGATATTACTCATTGCCTTGTTGCCCCTCCCACCCCCCATGTCTGCCTCTCCTCCACACCGTTTCTCTGATCTGGGATGTCCCAGCTGGGGGCAGAGCGAGGTGGGACATGGATTTTTTTTAATATAAGGAGATATTTATACACAGTGTTAAGGATGTAATGTTGTCTCAGCTAGGCAAGCAGCGGGGTGGAACTTCCTAATCTTGTCCCCATTTTAAGTGAGCCACAGACCACCCTGCCACCTTCCTTTCCCCAAGAGTGATGGTTTATGTTCCGAAGGAGAATAAAGCTATTTTTACCAAAACGAAGGGGATTTATTTGAGGTGTCATGTGGGAGGTGGCAGACAGATGGGGTGGGGGGAAATCTCAGGACAGAAGGCCCTGGTCCCGAGGGGGAAGTGATAGCTGTCCCAGACAGTCCTGAGGCACCGGGCTCCAAGCCTAGACCAGCCGGAAGGAAACAAACACGTGCTGGCTTCATGGAGGTGCGTGGGTGCCGACGGGGGCAGGCTGGGGCCTAGCGGTACCGGGCCAGCCTGTCGTACACGTGGTCCAGATTTCTACACAGGAATATTGAGAGCGTCATGAAGCCGAGCTGCGGAGAAAGGAGATGCTTCAGGGTGGTACCCGAAGGGGGAGGCACAAAGTGGGCGTACCTAGGAGCTTGGAATGATTGGCAGCGCTGAGTGGCAGTCTGGAAAGGAGAAAGCTTAGAGGCTAGCCCAGGGTCCTTTATTCTGGAGGCTCGGTAGTCTCCGCATGTGTCCCGACCTCCACCTCAGCGCCCGTGCTATCGGTCTCAGGCGGCTCCTCGTCTGCATCCCACAACGGCCAGGGCCCCAGAGCCATGGGTAGCTTGCCTTGTGCCTTGTCCCCCAATGTGGGGCAGGCACCCGCCATGCCCCAGCTGCCCCATGGGGTGCTGCTGCGTCCGCTGCTGCTGCTAAGCCCGCCCCAGCGCCCGCCGCTGCCCTCAGCGCTCAGCCTGGGTGTAGGGCTCGAACCCTCGGCTCCCGGCAGCGGCCGCACCGGCTCTCGGCTGAGCGCTCTACGATGTAGCTGCAGACACAGTGCCATCCCGCTCACCTGCGGGAGAGGGGAGGGGGCAGGGCACCCGTACGGCCAAGAGTTTGCAGAAGCCAAGTCTCTGCCCCATCCCAAGCTAGTGCTGTGATAGATAACAGTGCTAAGCAAGCGCGTTTCCTCGGCAACGGGAAAACATCTATAGATAGACTGATGGCACGGGGCCAAGTCACCTCAAGAAGACCGACTCCCAGACAGATTCCCACTATGGAGATGAGATTATTGTGCAGCCACTTCCGGAGGCTCTGGGCGCAGCCCTGGGGATGCAGGAAATGTGTAAAGGCGGTGCTGCTTCTGGAACTCACCCTCAAGCCCGGGGGGCCCTCGGGTCCTCCTTCGGGTACCTCCTAGGTATCCAAACAGGCAGGCCTTATCCAAGCTGTGCTCTGTGCCAGTGCTCCAGGGCTCTGCCCTTGTGTGGGCGACGCCTCTCACCCTCCGAGGACCCCACCCCTTTTGACGCTACTGTTTTAGTAGCGTCTAGCTCAGGCTCCAGCGGCCTCCTGATACCGCGCCTCTGAGCAGGTCACGCCCACTTAGAAGGGACTCTGTCTTTACTTGTAACCTCCCCCTCCCGCCTCCTGATCAC